TATACACACAGTATATATAATTCCTACATATATAATTTTGCTTAGTTTTGCAACAATTATTGGGAATAATGGGTATTACAGACAAAACCATCTGGATTAGCACCTGTAATAATATGCAGAATAGAAACGATGGCGGGGAAGAAAGCATTGCATTCTGGGGAAAACACAACTCGCTGCCACCAGTCTCTGTTCCTTACCCTCATCCAGAAACGGCGAGTAGAACATGACGGCAGCGTAGTCAAACAAATTGCTTCACATTTCTATGGCACCGAAAAAGCATGGAATACAACCATACAAAAGCGATTAAATCATTACTCTGATTATTGGAAATGATTGCATTATTCATGCGCGTGTAAACGTCAACTTCCTCCTTTCTCTCATCCACTTCCAGGATGGGAGGCTGAGAACAGGTGACCACATCCTGCGTATCGGTGAGACGTCTACTCGAGGTCTGGCCAGTGACCAGGTGGTGCAGGTGCTGCAGGCCTGTGGTACCCAGGTGAGGATGCTGATCGCACGAGACCCTCTGGGGGCGCCCCAGCCTCCGCCTCCACCTGCCCCCGCCACGGCTCCCATCACCTCTCTGCCACCTCCACCTCCTGTGCCATCCCACAGGGGCAGCAAAACGGTACAGAATACACCACCTTTACAATGAATCAGTGAATGAATGATGCAATATTATCTTAAAAAAATAAACATCTAGTTAATATTTGATTCCAAAATCACAAGAAATTAATAATAAATAAGAAATTATTTAGTTTGTATTTACGATAATATTTAAATGTTTTTAAATATCAATAAATATAATAATTAATAAATATAATATAATAATTACGTAATATAATATTACAATAATATTACAATAATATAATATATTATAATCCCCCCCCCCACCTGCCCCCGCCACGGCTCCCATCACCTCTCTGCCACCTCCACCTCCTGTGCCATCCCACAGGGGCAGCAAAACGGTACAGAATACACCACCTTTACAATGAATCAGTGAATGAATGATGCAATATTATCTTAAAAAAATAAACATCTAGTTAATATTTGATTCCAAAATCACAAGAAATTAATAATAAATAAGAAATTATTTAGTTTGTATTTACGATAATATTTAAATGTTTTTAAATATCAATAAATATAATAATTAATAAATATAATATAATAATTACGTAATATAATATTACAATAATATTACAATAATATAATATATTATAATAATTATAATTACATTAAAAATGTTATCATTATATATTCAGTTTTTGTTTTGAATAAATATAATAAATATACAATTTCATTTATTTATTTAATTTGCGTATATATAATGTTTACATTTTAAATTTAAAATAAACATTTTAAAAGATCACTTTTATAGGCAAATTCTGTGATCATAGTTTTTATCAAGACATTATTTTAACAATAAATAAGTACTTTGGTCACCAAAATTATCAATTGTCATAAAGCAGATATATAAGGTGTATTTAAATTGTAATTGTTTTATATAACATTATAGTATTTGTTTTATCACCTTAAATTGATTTTTTGCTCAAATTAAATGAAAGTTGTATTGCATTAATAAAAATATAAAATATGTAATATTCAAATGAAATAATCATTAAAAAAATATTGAAATAAAATAATCACTGAAATAATATTGAAATAAAATATCCAGATGTATTTCTGCAAGACATTGGAGGAGAAATTTTCTTTATTTTATTTTGCTTTATAATTTCTTGTAACATTTTTTGGATTATTTTAATTTTTAATTATCTCCAAATTCTCTTAACTATAATGCAAAAAGTATACATTATTAATATTAATACAGCATATTTATAATCATTTTGCCTTTTAGGCTGATTTAAGCCAAACAAATAATTATTTTACAGTAATTGTATAACTGTCCTACAGAAGTGGGAATTCAGTTAGAGTCACTATGACTTTTTCTTAATGTACGCCAAAAGTACACCCGGACGCCTCACAGTGATGTTGTATCATTTTTTTCTATTGATTTTAGGTTAATATAGGGCCCAAACATGTTTTTGTAGATTCACCCTGTAACAAAAAGCAGTGTTTAGAAACAATAAAACAAATGTCAGTGTTTGATCTGTAAAGTTGCAGCCAAATTTGGATGGCTACGAAATCCATGAAGTTGCGTTAAAAAAGAAGGAAGGCCAGAGCCTCGGGATCTCCATAATCGGACACAACGCTTTGACCACTAAGGGTAAGAAACATATTTTGCCTTGTTTTCCCAGAAACCCGACGATTAATCAGTATGCTGTTAATTATTATCTCTCGTCTCTGTTGCATGTCAGATGCGGTGGGTGTCTTCGTGAAGAACGTGGTTCCAGGCAGCGCCGCTGAGCAGAGCGGGAAAATCCTCGTCCACGACAGGATAATAGCAGTGGGTTCTTAATCACTTTTTAATGAGCTCTACCTTAATTAGCCTTGTGTCCATACAAACGCTCTGACCGAACAGAATGCCAGCTAAGTGAGACGTCTCTTTCATTTCACGTCGATTCACACTTTAATAAGAACGGGTTTGAGCTGTCGCGCTTTCCCAAGCCTCACGCTAGGCTAATCAGTCGGTTAGCTGGTCCTGAAGTGACTTCTTGATTGTCTTTGTGTCTGTGGGAGCAGTTGGATGGCGTGAACCTCCAGGGATTCACCAACCAGGAAGTCCTGGAGGTAATGAAGCGGACGAGCGATATCGTACACCTTACCCTCATTAAGAAGATCAACTCGCCCAAGAGGACAGCTGTAGAGAAATCGCTAGATAAAGGTAAAGTACATGTATTGTGTTCGGATCAGAGCTGTCATTCGATTTTAAATATTTTCAAATAAAAATGTTAAGATTTTATGAAATATAATAATAATAATAGTAAATATTTATAGTATTTTCGTTTGAATGCATTCTGTTAATTTTTAGGAAAATAAATATCTGATATTATTGGACTGTTATACTGCATCAAAACAGGAAATATAAACACAAATACTATGTGCAAATGCATATCTGCAATAAATTAAAAAATCATAAAACTTTCCCTACACTTTATGGATGTACTCTTCATCCATAAAGTGTTTGTTTAAGGCACTGGCCTGTTGGGAAATAATAACACTTTTTACTTTTGTTCATTTTCAAAATAGCAATGTATATGTAAAGTAAAGAAATAAATATTAAGATCTTTAAATCAATAAATACAGTGTTGACTTTAGGGCTGACAATCAATGTAAAAATTGTACAAATAAAAATGTATATTAAATTTTTATCAAATATTTATATTTAATAGATATGAGATGCTTTGAATGTTAGAAGTTAAAATTTATTATATTATTTTAAGTTAAAGGAAATACGTATCTATGTATATATGAATCGACAGCATTTGATCAGGAAAACCACAGGCTTTCGGCAAATGCTGTATAATGGTTGTATGGGAGCTCCTGTAGTGAACAGGATTAGGAAAAATCTGCCTGTGGTGGTCAAGACATGCTGTTGACGTGTGAGAGTGTTTGAATTTCAAGTCAATTTTATTGGAGCTTTTATATACAAGTTTGAGGCCTACTTGACATTATTAGCTTTCGCTATGACAAATTGACATAACAGTTTTATGATCCTCAATAGTCTTGGACTGACTTATACTGTATGTGTGTATGTATATATATTTATTTACATCTTTATAAATGATTGTTTGTGTCTTGTTAAAAATACATGTTGATTCAGAATTAAGTGTGTATGTTCGTATACTGGTGTGTTGATACAGTCCAGAGAGAGTCGTCCCGTGTGTCTCTGAAGAGATCGTCTGAGATCAAGGCGCGGGCGGATGTTCAGAGGGGCTCTGTTGTGGAGTCTATGGACTCTGCTCTGAGTGGGATCAAACAACAGCTGCAGGGGAAAAGTGAGTTCAGACAACACAAACACGTCTGTTCACTCACATACAGGTGCTCAACAATGTGGCCGATACCACATACTTTACACAGTCCAGCCCTCTGTTGTTCTGCTCCTGTAAAAACATCCTTCACTTTGTTTTGATTGGCTTTTTATTAATATGTTGAGCCTGGGTGCTCATGCAGGAAATGAAACTTCGAGTTTACATCATTGCTAGCAAGTTTTACTAGTAAGCTTTATAGTGGCAGTGAATGGGGGTCAAGATTTTGAAGCCCAAATAAGTCCATCCATCCATCCATCATAAAAAGTGCTCCACACGGTTCCGGGGAGTTAATACAGGCCTTCTGAAGCAAATTGATGAGTCTGTGTAAGAAAAATATCCATATTTAAAACTTAATAAACTGTAATCTCTAGCTTCTGCTAACTGTTGTACACGTGTTTGCAAGAGAGTGGCGTTCCAGTGAATGACGTAGGCGTAGCTTAAGCTCCGGTGAGAATGTTTCGCGAGAACCAAGTTTTGTTTACAGCAAACGAAAACCTAGAAGGTCATACATCAGAACTGAAAGTCTTAAATTTATAAAGTCATAGCATTAAATGTTGCATGCACTGCAAAAATTAATATCTTCCTCAGTATTTTTGTATTTTTCAAATTCTAAACTAGGGCTGTCATTCATTCATTACATTTATATAGCGCTTTTCTAGGCACTCAAAGCGCTTTACATTGTC